GCCCGGCGGGCGAGCCCCGCTCGGGTTGGTCGCGGCCGCCGCGCCGCTCTACGACGTGGTGGTGTCGGGCGGGGGTATGGTCGGGAGCGCCCTGGCCGCCGTGCTGGGTAAGGCTGTGACCTTCTCGCCCGCTCCGGGCGGCGTCGCAGGTGCCGTCGGCCCGACCCGTTCCCCGCCCCGGCCCGTTGCAGTCACGGCCTCACAGTCGGCGGTGGTCTCTTCCTCCTGCTCCTGCCGCGGTGGTGTGAGGTCTCGGAGGCCTCTGGGCCTCCCGCACCGTGTTTTGTGAGTGCAGCGAGTCGCGAGTTTTGTGTCCCACTGCCCTCGCTGTCTGTCTCACCGGTTGCACAAAAACTTAAAAGTGGGAGTTTCCCCAAAACCTTCATGTTTCAGTGTGTGGAGTATTGCATACTTTCATAAGTCGACGCTATTAATCCCCGTTGGTGACAGTGTGAGGTAACTACGTGGTTACCATTTAGGATCTTAACGTTCAAGATCCTGTTGTGGAATTTCCTTATTCCCTCATCCTCTTGTGACAGCACTCTAAGGTTGACTTAAAGCTGTTTGGATACCTGATTGCTTTGATGAGCCTTACCCTATTTATTTTTTCAGTGTAGCCATTACTTTAAATTCTGTAGACTGCTTGTAGTATTTCTGTCAAACAAACAAGGGTCACCCTTAAATCACTGATGGATAATTTCAGCCATAGCTGAAAATGCTTTTCTGATCCTAAGTGTCATTCTCTAACCCTGTATTTTAAACACTGGACTATCAAGTTAAAATGGATTTGTGCTTGGTTTGCATCACCAGAGATCCTGAGAGTACAGGCTGCTGCTTTGCAGCGTTGGTTCAGAGGGGTGTAATAGTGACAGAAGCCTAAAGAAGAGAGTGCAAAGGAGAGCAAAAGAGCAAAGGTCCTAAGCAATAAGTGCTGTGCAAGTATAAGGATTTACCTTCCAAACTTAGCATTGTTCTGCTTGTGTTGTTAAAGAAGACCGCAGTGGAATTGAGACAGCATAAGGATCCACTCCAGCAGTGATATCTAAAGATAACATGTGGGTTTGGGACCTTTCAAGAGATGAGGTTATGTTGTGCATAATCTAGAAAATATGTTCAAGGTACTGCTGTTATTAGGACTGCTGTAGTAGTAAACTCTGGATGTTATAAGGACGCCATTTCTGGTCTCCGTACCTTCCGCAACCGTAGCGGTCAGATGTAACGACCATGGCAAATTCAGTGGTAGCGTGATTTACTCTTTACGTGACTCATCTCTTCAATTTTTTTCAGTTCTCTTTAACTGAAAGTTAAAGTCTAAACTGCCTGTGCTATTCCGCTGTGAGAATATAAGAATAAAGAAAACATAAGTGTAGTTGCTAAGTATCATTCAAGTTTTATGTTGATCTCTTGTTCTAATTAGTGAATTTATGTTTAAGCTCTGAAAAATGTGTTCTGTGCTTGGAATAAACATTGCAGATTTCACACTTTAATACTTCAGTAATGAACTTTCATAACAAAATATGCACAAATTTGTACAAAAATGTAAACTTTGTATGGAAAGAAAATGTTTAATCCTTGCTTTAACTGCAAAAGAGTTGCCAGTCCCAGTAACAGGATTGTAGTCATAAAGCTTTAAAATACAAAAGTTTACCTGCCTAGTCAAAACCTGTATTGTAAATGTGTGTGTTTATTAACTTTTGCATCTACTCTATCTTATTACAAAAATGCATAGGCATTACCCATACAGAAATAAGAAATGATGTTTTTAGCAGGAGCGTTGTAACAAAGCATATATTTGCTTATTTTAGGGCATGATATCCACTTCCATGATAAGAAGATTGCTTTGCTGGAGGCTGGTCCTAGGAAAGAATATGATCGCATGCCAGACAGTTACAGTAACAGGGTCAGTTCCATCTCCCCAGGATCAGCAACCCTCCTAAGCAGTAAGTATTATTTCTGTTGTTTGCATTTTTAACAATATGTTTGAGCTGTTTTTACTTTGTTTAAACAAAACCCCTTTGAGCATGTGCTGCCTTCATCCTAAACTCAACAGAATTATTTGCTTTTCTCTGTTAGTATTCTGTATGCTGAATTGTGGTGATTAACTTGGGCTTCTCTTGATAACAGGGATCTGTGTTCTGGTATCTTGGTCTGATTTGTTATATAAATATGTGTGACATTAGGCTAGTGAAAGGTTATAAGGTGCTTTCTATAGCATCTGGAATGTTCTGTTCACAAGAAGGAGCATGTACTTAGTGCTCTGTAGCCTGGTAACTCACTTCTCCTGATTAATTTTCGTTCTAAAGACAGATTTGAGCCTTGATTCCTTATGGAGAAAGAATGTTCTAAACAATGATGGCCGTCCATTTCTGTGTCTGTTTTATTACTGAGTGACAGGACAGTGAGAGTTGACTGTTAAGTCACAGTGTTCATGGAAAGCTCTTGTTTCTTTTCCTGGCTTGTGTTAACAGTAAAATAATGCGATGCGGGAGCTGTGAAAGTACTGAGGCAGACCTGGCTCTGTCTAGGGATGGTGCAAGCAGAGTCGGGCGTTGATAGTCAGGGAGGGAGGAGGAGAGTGTGGAGTGAGCGTCAGTTTTGTTTGAGTCTCAATGTCACGTGTGAACCTGCATCTCCATGCGTTTGTGTCCTTTTTCTCTTTTAGGTTTTGGTGCCTGGGATCATGTCTGCAGCCTGAGACTCAAACCGTTCCGGCGAATGCAGGTGCCTTACTTAGGGCTGCAAATACACTACATGTCTGTCTACTCTGAATTCTCAGAAGTACTTACATTAATGATCCAAAGGTTTTTTTCTTTGGTAAAGGGCAGATCACGCTTGTGATGATTCCTGTTACTTTTTTGGGGGTAGCAGTCTACTCAGAAATACTCGTCCTCAGAGTCTTGATGTTACAGGATGAAAGGTTGATTCCTAGTGGAAGCTGTAGATATTGAGGCATGGGTACTAGTCAGGAAATAAAGGTAAAGCTGTGTATTGGTTTTGGCTGGGATAGAGTTAATTTTCTTCATAGTAGCTTGTATGGTGCTACGGTTTGGATTTGTGATGAAAACTGTTGATAACACAGGCATGTATTAGCTATTGCTGAGCAGTGCTTACACAGTGCCAGGGCCTTTTCTGCTTTTCACACTGCCTCGCCGGCGAGGAGGCTGGGGGGGCACAAGCAGCTGGGAGGGGACACAGCTGGGACAGCTGACTAGAGGGATATCCCACACCATATGACATCATGCTTAGCATATAAAGCCAGGGGAAGAAGGAGGAAGGGGGGGCATTCATAGTTATGGCGTTTGTCTTTCCAAGTAACCGTTACGCATGATCAAGCCCTGCTTTCCTGGAAGTGACTGAACGCCTGCCTGCCGATGGGAAGTAGTGAATGAATTCCTTGCTTTGCTTTGCTTATGCATGCAGCTTTTGCTTTACCTGTTTAACTGACTTTATTTCAACCCACGAGTTTTTGCACTTTTACTCTTCCAATTCTTTCTCCCATCCCACCGGGGGGCAGCGAGCAAGCGGCTGTGTGGTGCTGAGCTGCCTGCCAGGGTTAACCCACAACAAGGCGATAGGGTAGCTTAATATGTTAATTATGTAACAGGAAAGGAGGGATAAAAAACTTTCTTTGCAATTCGTTTTTGAGATGAAACTAGATCATTGTATGAAAGGAATTATGTGATGTACTTTAGTAGCTGGGAATGGACAGTAATCCAGGACGTTTCCTTTAGTTCTGTATTTCTACTGTCCTTTTGCTGTTAAGATGGATGCATTCATAGTCCCTGAAAGAAACAGCACTTATTTATCATGTAGCTTCATGTCATGTATTTTTTCTTTGTAGGTGTGGGATGCTTGTTCAGAAGCCATGATCGTTTTTGAGAAAGATGACTTAGATGACATGGGTTACATAGTGGAGAATGATGTCATTATGTCTGCTCTCACAAAACAGTTAGATGCAGTAGCAGGTAGTGGACAACTTCTTTAATATTTTATTTCCTGCAGAGAGCTTTCAGTTACTTGCCTTCTGTTGTGTGCGCTAAGTTATGAGAGGGAGAAAGATAATTCATCTAACAAGTAACTCTGAGACATGGGCAGCTTCTTGAATTGGGGAGGGGAGGGGAGGGAGAAATCCGTCTTCCGAAGGCTACGCAGCAAGAAAACAGTTGCATATGTAGTTCTCCAGAACATAGTCTCTCCAAAAATAGACTTAATGAAAAGATCTTTAGCTTTCAATCGAGAGCAGGCCTTGCAGTGACAAAGGGTTGGCCAGATCTGTTCTTTCAGAGTGCCTTGAAAATTGTAGGGTCAGCATTAAGACATGTGTGGCCTTTGCTGTTGTAGTGATGTTTCCTTTTTTCATGCCTGTATCATGCTGTGACCATAGCACTTTGTGTTCCCATCAGACCGGGTGGAGGTTTTCTACAGGAGCAGAGCAGTCGGGTATACCTGGCCCCTTCCCTCTCACAGCTGTGACACAAGCCCTTGGGTCCAAATTGAGTTAGCTGATGGACGCAGACTTCAGACCAAACTGCTGGTAACTAAACTTTTTATTTCTGTTGATCAGG